CAACATTAAACTACTCTTGTCTCGTATTTACCCTCGTGGTGTGTAGGACCAGTGGATATACTTTGTGGTATAATGGTTATCGGCTCGGAATAAGAAATCGGAGAGCAGAGTTCGAATTCCAGTAGAGTTCGTTATGTTCATTTAGGCTCAAATAACCTTGTGAAAAGTATGAATCCATCTCTTCTCCCTCTATTTTTTGCCGTTGCCTTCTCCACAGTTTTAAATTCTAAGTTATCATTCTCTGCTACATCGGGCTAGAGAGCCAGCTACAACCTGCGTATTAACCCATAAGTCAGGTGAAAAAGAAATGGAGTATTGCTTTTCCAGAAGCTTTACTGCGAAGTAAGCGCAACAGACTTGGACAGGATTTGAACCCTACTCACCGTCCCCACTTTCCGTGCCGATAAAACTTACGCTACACGCACATCCCATGATCTGATACTTGTAGCAGAAGGCCGTGGATCTGTGTTTGTAGAGACCCGCATTAAACTGATTTTGTGCTGTATTTGTTCAACTGCTGGGGTAAAGCAAATACTATCCCCGTTCTTGTCTTCGGCTGAGATAGGGCACAGAACACATGCAGATGTCTATAGAGTTTCACATTAAAATCATCTTATACTGTATTTGCCCCCGTGAAGACGTAAACAAATACAGTGTAACCCGGATATAAGAGAGTTGTCGGGACCGGAGAAGAAGTCTCTTATATCCGGATTTCTCTTATATCCGGGTTTGGTCTATTTTATATACATTAACACAGGCTCTAATTTGGGACCAGAGAAAATCTCTCTTATATCCGGGTCTGTTATATCCGGGTTACACTGTATGACATTTTTATTGTAAGTGCATAAATTTACAGGTAGCGCTCAATTAGAAAAATAATCAGGTCGAATAACACAGTCCCCTATATTTTTTTTTCGGTTGGGGGTGTTCTCATATGTCTAGTCACCTTGGCTGCTACAAAGTTACAACAAATAAATAAATCTCAACAACCGGTCATAATGTTACCGCACTACTCCCGCCCACAAACAGAGATGCACAGTGCGTCAACCCCTACTGAACATGCAAAACTGGTTAATGTCAGGTAACTGATACGTAATTCTGTGGTACTGAATGGACTATTGAGACTATAAGTATTTACTTGGTTCGGTAATTGGTACGTATTGGTCCTTTATATTTGAATCTGCAAATATTTACTTGGTAGATGGTCTCTTTTGTGTAGAAAATTTTACCCCTCTGCAGTCGGTGTTTGCTCGGGCACGCCGACAAGGAAAAACATTGACGTTATTTTCATGATCAACATTCAATCAGACAATGGATATTTAGTCACAATTTTAAAATATTTACTAGCTTTGAATAAGCCGCAAAGAGTAGATTAGCCGTAGAATCAACCACACAGTCTGTTCCTTTTGACGTCAGTATGTATTGAGTGTGTGTTATGGTGAAACATACCTATTCTATAGTTAATAGACTCTCCCACCTAATATAAGTAAGAGTAGTAAGAGTAACGAGGGTCAGTCGACCGGCTGAACGGTTGAACTCTTTGCCTTCGGGGGGGGGGACCCGAACGAGGCTATGCCGAAGGGCAGAGTCTCGTTCGGGGAGATAAACCGACCCTGAACCCGTTTATACGGGTACAAAGGGTATCCCACCTTAAACCGGCCTTGTGCCACATGATACCCTCGTGGGGAGGGGGTGAATAAATACCAGTCGATATCGGACGACCGACTGAACGGTTGAACTCTCTGCCTTCGGGTGGGGAGTAATCCGAACGAGTCTACGCCGAAGGGCGGAGTCTCGTTCGGGGAGGTAAACCGACCCTGAACCCGTTTATACGGGTACAAAGGGTATATTTTTGGCCGAGCCCACGGGCTCGGAGATCCCACGTTAAACCAGCCTTGTGCCACATGATACCCACGTGGGGGGTGACTAAATACTACTCGATGTCGGACGACAGTAGTCGACAGTCGAATACGAAAGTAGTCAGCGACCACAACAAGATTACTCTGCGTAATACCTCTTATAGCAAGTTCCTAACGTTTTGTATGTCGGACTATTTAGGACCGATTTAATACAAATACAAGCCCCCACTGCGAAATAACTCCACAACAGTGTGTCAAATTGCCTTAATATGTGCCCTAGAAATTTCAACTATTTCTTTCTGATGTTAAGTAAAAGTGTCCCTTTTGTTTCCATTTCCTTTAGAAGTTCGTCGTTGTTCACATATTCAATCCATGGTATCCTCAGTATCCCTCTGTAGAACCACACTTCTGTTGCCTTACGTCTCCTCTTCATTTAGGAGATTGTTTAGCATTCACTGCCATATAGAAGCATAGTCGAGTTCAGCACTCATTTCTAACGAATTTTTCTGTTTTTTTAATAAGCTTTGCTCAGCTTTTGAATGCACCTTTTGATATTCCAATGCGCCTTCAAAATTTGATGTCAATAATAAAGAATATTTTTATTTATTTATTTATTCTGTAAGCCGATCAATGTTTGGGAGGAGGCGTTGTCCATGCGTGATTCTTTTTGTTTGAAACTTATCGTCAGAATCGTGGATGAACGAGAAGAGAGTCGCTGGTAAATTGCTTGACTTAAACGTGTTCACCCATCCCAATTCCCGACAGACGTCGTGGATATCTTTGCATTACAGTTGATTTCATAATTGTGAATATGTGATTAGGTACAATAAATAAATACGAGAGGAGAGATAAAAAAAAAAAAAGAAACAGGAAGAAAACATGTGGAGGGAAAAAGAAAGAAAGAAATTTGAAAGAAAGAAAGAAAAGGGAGAAATTTGAAAGAAAGGAAGAAGTTGAAAGAAAGAAAGAAAAAGAAGAAAAGTGAAAGAAAGGACAGGAAGAAAGAGAGAATAGTAAGAAAGGGGAACGAAAGGAGAATGAAAGAAAGAAAGAAAAAGAAGAAGAAAAGTGAAAGAAAGGACAGGAAGAAAGAGAGAATAGTAAGAAAGGGGAACGAAAGGAGAATGAAAGAAAGTAAGAAAGCCAGAAAGAAATAAAGGAAAAAGAAAGGTAAAAGAAAAAACAGGAGAACGGTAATTGAAAAATAAGAAAAAAAAAAAAAAAAACAGGAGGAGGAAAGATCGAAGTAGCGGGAAGTATAGATTCAGACCAACGTTTTATTTTTCACTGCATTGTAGGTTCAATTGTTAATTGAGCGTTTGTGTGCAGGCAGCAACCAGACGCAGTGACAACGAAAGAGAAAGAAACAATAAAATATAGAGAGGGGATATTTGTCTCCCAGCAAGAGAACAAAGCGTGGGTGGGTTAAAAAAAAAAGAATGTCAATGATAAAGTTAATGATAAAAAGCGAGAGAAATATCAAAGAGTGAACAGTAAAATACTAAATATATTAACAGAAAGAAGAATAGAAAATAGGAGAGCAGAGACAGACAGACAGACAGACAGAAAGAAAAAATGATGACGTTCTCTGGAAGTCATTTTGCACGTTGAGTGCACGCCACCACAGGGAGTAAAATGTGTATATTGTTGAGGTCAGTTTAGAATCTCGGTGAAAAGCATTTCCGAGTTGAGAACAGAGTTATGTTTACGCTTGACTGGTTAATTTAAAAAATAGAATCTTAAGTGATTTATTTATTTATTTTTGTTATCTGGCGAAGTGGGACATGGAAGGAAAAATGGTTAGGTGCTCAAGTCACATTGAATAAAACGGCACTCGCCCGATCATCAAAGTTGAACCCGGTTTGTATCTAGATGGGCGAATATTTCTGAACACCAGGTCAGGTAAGTTACTTATGACATTGTGACAGGTGTGTCAAAGCTGAAGATATACCGATGGGGAAAGATAATGAAAATACAAAGAACGCGATATTTACCCAAAAGTCAAGAATCAAAGAGAGGGAGGAGGGCGTACAGGAGAGAAAGAGACGGAAATAACAATAGCGAAAGAAAGAAAGAATGAATAAATGAATATTTAAATAAAAAAATATGGCGTATGGTCAAACCATATTCAAAGCACTGGTGCATCTCTGACCACCAAATCTATCTTTGCTGTTTGTTTAAAAACAAACATATTCTGTATTGTAAGAGTAAACATTTTTTTTCAGATAAATATTTCATTAACAATTTTTTTGAGAATAAATTTTCCAGATACAATTCCTACTATTTAACCTGTAGCTGAGAGGACTAGATGGATTAATATCTTTCACAAGGGTAGTTGTACGTAAGTGAATGTAACGAACCCAACAAGAATTTGATTCTTGCCGATTTCTAATTTCGAGCCGCTATCCATTACACCACACGCACATTCTAAGCCATATCGAACATCGCCATTATTTAGATGACCCCCCCACACGGAAGATCAGGTACTGTAAGCAAGATGACCTTGTGTCAGAGCAGATAAATCTGTCTAAATAGAGACGAGGAGAAAGAAAAGAATAAATGGATAACGGGGATATATGCTTGAAATCAAGAGAACAACAAAGATGGCGAAAAGAGTGTAAGTAGCAAATAGAACGACAAAGAGAGGAATAGTAAAGAAAGAGAAAGACAGAAAAGGAAAGAAAGTTAAAAAAGATATATAGAAAAAATGAGAAGTAAAGAAAGAAAAAAAAATAACACTATATATATATATATATATATATATATATATATATATATATATATATATATATGTATGTATGTATGTCTGTGTAAACACAGTTCGAAAAAAAGGGATTTTGTTAAAAAAATTACTTTGTAGCTCTTCCGTTTTTAGGTAATTCCTGCCAACAGCTGAGGTTTACTTTTTTTGTTAAATGGTTGATTCCTGTTGTCTGTCTTCTCTCGTGAATCTTTTTGCACCCAACACCAATAGCACGTCTGCAGTAGGCAGACAAATGTTATGTATTGCCCTCAAGTGACCGGTTACTGCGAAGGATGGAGTATTCAATTCCCACAAGAACTCTACTGAACTGCTTATCCCAAAAACTGGAGAAGGAGGAAAAAAAAAAACAACTAACGAAATAAAAATAAAAAAATTACGGAAACGAGAGAGAGAGAGAGAGAGAGAGAGAGAGAGAGAGAGAGAGAGAGAGAGAGAGAGAGAGAACTAGGCCACAAGCTACATCTCTCTTTTCCTTTCTTTCTCTTTTTGCGCAATATACTTTCAGTATGTGGACAATTGCGGCTCTCCACAGCTTTCTGTCTATTGTTGTTCAAGACAATCTCTATTTGTCTTTGTGATTCTACATCCGGCAGCAAGGCCTCTGATCGGGAGATTGAGGGATTTGAGCGAACACCCCTCTTAATTGCTGTTGTTACCAAGTCCACCCTGATCCAGAGTGGAAGCACCTGTTTGTGTCCCAACTATGGGCAAATAGTGAACTCCCAAACAAAATACTATGAAATTATAAAAATACATTTTATTGTAAAAATACCAGCAACAGATTTTTTACATAAAAAATACTAGCAATGCCTATTTATAGTAAAATTTACCAACACTACACCAATCAACATGAAAGAACTCTTTCTTGATACTAATCCATATAATATCCTACAATTTCTTTAAGTAATCAAACTGTATTCCAAAATATAACTTCAACAAAAATCCAACATAAAACGTACATATCACTTCCTCTAGTAATTATGTTCACACAGACATGTATATGCAAAAAAAGATGAGCATTATCTACTCTGTATCCAGTTGTGAAAGCAGAATAATTTATTTTTATTAGACTCTGCGCCCTCTTTGCGACACGTTTTCAACTGACTTGAAGTGGCGCGACTACATTGAATCAATAGCTGCATCTATTACAAGGAAAGTTCGACCATGCGTTAAATACTGCTCCCATATCTGGTCTGTTACTCCTGCTATTCTTGACAAAATCCAAAGAAGAATCTGTAATGTAATCGACCCTGATCTGGCATCTCGACTTCAGTCAATTTCTCACCGATGTGATGTGGCTGACCGTTGTCCTTTCTACAGATGTTTTTATGGCAACTTTTCTGACGAGCTTTTTTTTTCCGGGGACCCGACTACATGAATTTCAGCGTGAGTACTATTAGATTGGCGTCTAAGTCCCATCTGTTTACTGTTGAAACAGCTAAAGGCAACAGCAACTTCTACTCCAACAGTTTCTTTTCTCGCACTTCCCGCTTGTGGAACTCCTTTCTTTTTCCTTACTTCCCTGATAACTACAATCTTTCAGAAATTTAAATGCAACGTCAATCGCCTATCTTCTTGAATCCCGTTCATCTTTTGTCCTTTCCTCAATCCTCCCTATACTCACGCTTTTCCCTCACTTTTACTCCGTGTAACTACCTGCGTACTAGTGGCATTTCCGCCTTGCTTGGAGTGAAATCATTTTTTTAAAAAATTAATTATTTTTGATTCTGTCATACATTCACTCATACATATCAAATATGTTTCTCCCTGTTTCCGCTTGATTCTCTTGATGAATGTCATATTCTTCAAGCATTCTTTCCACATTATATATACCCAAAAGTTCAGTTGTTTATTTCTGATTGTTAGCAGCAGTTACTTTGCTGTTCTTAATAGCGGTAAACTCCATTGCCTCGTCGGTAGGAAACACATTTCTCTTGCCTCAGGTCTCGTCTACATCTATGAGGTGATTGTCCAGAATTCACTATCATACAGGAGATTACAGATGACATAGCAGATCAGCACACTTTGTTTTCAAGCATATTTTCTCATTCTTTAATAGCTTCCTTATTTTCTGAAAATGATCTTCCCACAATCCTCTGCGTCTTGACAGAACGTATTGTTGTCAGTAAAAGTAACAGCCCAACATACAAATAAGAAACTGGAGATACCAAAATCTATCAAGCACAACAATCTTGGAAGTGTTTTAACCGAAGACAGAAAATGTGAAACCGGAATCCGAAGGCGCAATGGGATAGCGAAAGATGCATTCAGAAAGCTAAGCAAGATACTAAGAAACAGGAAAAGTTCATTAGAAACAAACAAATGAGTAATGAACCGTTAGGTAATGTCAGTGAATGCTGGACAGTCTCGATGTAACGTTTTACTTTCATCGTGTTATCTTGCGAGCATTCAGTGCGCTTTTTCCCAGCGTTCGATGAACACCGACGATACCGTGGACTGAAATGCAACGTAGAGTCATCGTTGGTCTGTCGATGGAAAGCTTGGGTGAGAGTCACGTTGTAGGTTTACAAAGCCGTTCAGTGACTTACACCTGGTGTCGAGTAAGTCGTTTAAATATTTACATTCGGTCTAATGTCCTCGTCTTTGCTGTCATTATCACAACATTTCAACCTTTGTGTGTTCCAGACTTCTTCAGGTCACAGTTGTGATGATAAAAACAAAAATAAGGACATCAGATGAAAGTAAATAATGATAACTATACGTCCTAGAAATTCAGACAGCAAGTATTTTTTTTTTAATGTCAGTAGATAATTGTACGAATACAAAGGTAAAACTGACCATTTCTCTACTTCCTATATTGTTCCCTTGAAAACGGCCAACGATTGTCGGAAGTAATTTGAACGTAATACAGAATTTCGGAAATTTTCTTTTCCAAGTTTCCACCTGACATCAAACGACGTTCTTCTCTGTGCCATATCATTTCATGACTTAAGTTACCAATATTTTCTAACCAAGTAAATGATGCATCTTTTTCTATGTGTTATGTAATTTGTAGATCTTAATAAGGCTTCTTCTTTCGCTATTTCACCAAATCCCTGTTCTGGCACTCATTTTCATAAGCTCGTTAGGTAGATTATGCGCTGCTTTTCTCTGTCTCTTTTGCCTTCAATATGACTTGTGAGTGTTATATTCTCCGAGCCATCTTTCCTCATTATGTGTCCTAGTAATTTCAACTGCTTCTTTTTTATTTTGATATAAGTGACCCTTTTGTTTTGATTTTCCTTAAACGATCCTCATTACTCACATGTTTATTCCATGGCATGCCCAGCATCCTTCTGCAGAAACACATTTCTGATGATACGAGATTCTTCTTCATCATCCAGTATCCACTACTATATAGGAGGATCGATGTTACATAAGAGTTCAATATTCATTTCTTTATTTCTAACGAAATGTATCTGTTTCTTGATAGTTTGCTTAGCTTTTAGGAGGCATTTTTGGTTGTTCCAATGCACCTTGAGTTTTCGGTGTAATATTTTCCGCCCTCTGTTAAAATACTTCCCAGATATTTAAATTTTCGTACTTGATTTGTTTTTGGTGTTTGAATCTTAATCTATTCATTTTACTCACAAGCATACATTATGTCTTCTAACAATTCATGTGTTTTTCCCTCCAAGCAAGGCGATAATGCCACTAAGACGCAATGGGATACTGGGTGTGAAAGAGAATGAGAAGACTTTAGTGAGGAGAAAGAACAGGTTTCAAGACGATAGAAGATTGCGATTGACGTTGCATTTAAAATTTGGAAGATTGTAGGTGACCGGGAAACAAGAAACTGGAAGAGAGTTCCACAGGTGAGAAGAGCGAGAAAATAAACGATTAGAAAAGAACTTACGGTTACATCGAGCTGTTTCAACAGGGTCAGACCTAACTGACAATCTAGTAGTACGCTTAAAGTAATACGGTTAATGAGGTAACAAGGAGAAGAGCTTATTAGAACAACTACAATGAAAATATTTCAAGAAAAAGCAGAGGGAAGCCACATAACAGTAATGAGAAAGTGACTGAAGTCGAGATACAAAGTCATGACCAATAACGTTACAGACCCCCTTCTATGGAGTCATTTCTTCTTGCTTTTCTTTACAACTTTATAGAGGAATTCCTGCCGTTTCCGTTTTGTGTCTTCTATTAACATTGTCATAAGTCGCAATTTCTTTTCTTTTTTTTTTTAATTTTTAATTTTCTAAATTTAGTTATTCTGTAATTACGATTCGAAACGTTTAAATGTGTTCGTTGTAGACACGGTGGATTAAGGGATATCGGCTCGGATTGAGGAATCGGAGACTGAATCTGTTACATTCCAGTCGAATCTATTACATTCACTTACGTGCTAATACCCTTGGGAAAGGTATGAATCCTCTTCTTCTCCCCCCCACCAAGCTATGGGTAAATAGCAGAACAGACCGGGTTCTATAACCGTGGATGGCAACTGGTCTACCGCAGAAAGGAATGGCAACCTATTGCGGGGAAAAAAATCTGCCTCGTCAGTCATGTATCAAAAGATACATAATCGCCCAAGCGTGTATCACGCATGGCACATAACTGACTCAACTGTACAGTCATACTTGTTGCTTTGATAGCAGTGTTTGAGATATCGGGGTGGGGGTGGATTTCGTTTTACGAAAGGTTTTTGTGAGTGAGAAGCCCTACCCAAGTCGAGAGAAATTTCCTCAGATTTGAGCGTTGCTTTCTTCTCAGCGAAGAAGCTTGAAACAATTCAAACTCACGCTACAGTGAGTCACCACCCTCGGCAGTTTCGTCGGTCATTGGGCGACTGAATTTGGATTGAAGAAGATAAAGATGCATTTAGATTTATCAACCATTAAGCATCTTCAATCTGCACTGGAATAATCCGTGTGTTAAAGTCTTCCAAAAATAGGAACACGTAATAATCTGCTGATACCTGAAACAATCCGTATAATGTGACGTGTTCGCCATCGCTACCGGTCTTGTTCAGTGTTAACAATAATGTCGTATATGATGATGCTGATTATTTTACGAATATCTTGTATTAAGTATCGGCTGGTCGCGTTTTCTTTCTGAGATTGTTTGGCAAATTCAAGTCACCTCACGCTATAAGCATTCTTCTTCTATGAGGACATTGACGATCATGGCTCTCCACAACCTACTGTGCTTTGTAGTTCGTATTAAAGTTAATAATTTTGCTATCTCTCCCAATCCCTGGTCTGACAACCATTTACACAAACCCGTCAAGTTGGGTATGAACTGCTTTTCTTTGTCCCTCTTGCTTTCAATATGTCCTGTGAGTGACAAATTTTCCAAGCCTTTTCTTCCTCATTATGTGACCTAGAAATTTTATCTGTCTCTTTTCTGATTCTAAGTGTCCGTTTTGTTTCGATTTTCTCTAAAACTTCGTCGTTACTCACATGTTCAGTCCATACTATTCTCAGCATAGAACCTCA